TAATTCACAAAAAAAAAAATATATATAAATAAAATATTATCCATTTAACCGCGTTATCAGTAGGTTCTTTGAGTTTTTTAATGCATTATAAATATAAATAGCATTTAATGTAATGTTGACATAGGACTAAATATAATTTTTAGCTTCGATGCAGAGCGGTGAAGGTGTTGGTTTTACTCTGATGTGTGTGTTTTTTTATCTGTATACACTGTAACTTTTTTAATAATGAACCAATTCCTTCAAGTAGCAACTTTATAAATCACTAATTTCATCTAGTTAGTACTTTGAGGGGGGGGGGTAAAAGTGGAAAAAGTTTAGTTCTGTACAGTCGATATTTGAAAAAAACAAAAAAACCGTACGAGTTTTTTAGTCAGAACTTTTACTAAATTTCGAGAAAAAAAGTCGGATCTAGTTGAAATTTATAAGAAATATTTATTTGGTATGCTTGCACACGTCAGTTGTATCAAATTTAAATGAGACCCATTTCCCACCTCCTTAGGTGGGGTTTAAGTTTTTTTAGTTTTTAGTCGTAATTTTAGGACCTATAAAATGAGAATTGGTCAGTAGTTAGAACTCATATGTATTCATAACATATTAAACGGAAAACTAATTCGGCACTAAAGGTATTATTTTAACTGCCGGAAAACTGTGTTAACGCGGATAGCGTATATTTGAACAAAAATCATATAAAATCTTAAAAAAAATTTTATCAAATCATTAAAACAATTTTATGTATATCTATGCAGAATGATACTATTAAGTTTTGTTCTCAAATACCACTTTTGCCTTTTAGCTAACACAAATTTAATTTTTGTTTTTTTTTGGCTGAGTGAAATTGAAAACTAATAATCAATTCGTAATCACCGACCCCAAAAATATATAATTTTACCACTTTTGAAGCATTTTACATAAAAACCCAGAAAAATATTTTAGCTTCGATGCAGAGCGGCTTTACTGTGATGTGGGCTTTTTTTTATCTGTATTCACTGTAAATGTTTTAATACTCGACCAATTACAAACATGGTGTACCAGATGTGAGGAACGAACAGACGCTTCCAATGATCATATGCAAAATAATTAAATTACTAGATGAAAAATGATTATGAAATGCAAAACATATTATGTACCTGAAGTAAACGTTAAGACGGTAAAAGCTAAAAGAGACTTGTACATTTTCGTAATCTAATATGTTGTCAAATTCTTAAACACTAAAAAAGTTCTTGTCGAAAGATATTGAGAGCCGATTGAGCGTATGTTTTTTTATTAAATGCTGCACCAACTTTTTCTATACTGTAATAATTAATCATAAAAGAATAATCAAAGTCACCAAAAAACCATGAGTGAACACACAATATTATATCACAAAACTTCGGTTGAATTCTTAAAGCCGTGAAAAATACCAGATAAAATTGAGAATATTTGCCTACAGTGTACAGCAAATCCAATTAGTTGACAAAACATAAGCACACAAATTAAATCTACAAAATTATATTTAGGAGAACAACAGTTAAGGAGATATTGAGTGCATTGCGTTAAATGAATAACCCTGCATATAATTATATAGTTCTAAATGGTATATATTATTTTTGGTAGCTTATAATGATAAGTATCATTTTAACAACGTGTTTTGGCTAAACACTATTATGTTAGAGATATTTTTAAGAAAATAAAAATTAATTTGTGGTATAGAATCACTATAATTGACAATTCATTAACGCAGTATTTATTAAATTTTATGTTCTTACATTTTTTCTTTATATATATTACTGTATATATATATATATACTTTTGTGTCCCTATATATTATGTATGTATATTTAAATAATTCTAAAATATTCATTTAATGACTACGCAGTTCAGTTCGTTGTATTTTTGAGTATAGTTCAAAGTGACTAGAAAATAATTTTACTCTAGTAGCGTAGTGCGTACTATATGTTTTCATACATACAGACTAACGTTGATACACGAAAAACTGTACATACAATTTGTGTGCGGTTTATTGTGTACGCACATAAATATGTTTTTGTTGTATATTGAATATTGTTTAAAATTGCCCAAAAGTTTTGAAAATTTTGTCAGCATAGTACATCTCGTCCATGTTTATCTTTTTTTTAGCATTATATAATATGATTTGTACTATAAATAACGTCTCACTAACTAAATAGTCGCTAATTTTTCCAACTATAGCAAAAGTCTAGAATTCTTTGGAATTGAACTTTGCGTTATTTTTAAAATTCCATTTTCGTTTTGAGTTTGGGTTTATTAAAGATTTGTTTATGAAGAGTAAAAGGTAATAGGTATAAAAAATCAGATTTATACCTGTTTTTATGTAAGGGATGAAGGTAAACATTTTCAACGTAGTGAAAAAATAGTAAATTATGTACAAATATAGGGAAAACCATATTTTTATAATATTATTATTTTTTGAGAAAAATAGTGTCCTTAGATGGATCATCGTGTATTCCTATAATGATCTGTATTCATAAAATCAACAGGTATCTTAAAAATAGTTTTACGTTCTATGGGAAAACACTACAGCAATGTATTATAAAGAGAAGATCAACCCTAATCGGTTCCACTTTAATATTAAACATTTTAAACACTTTCGTTTAAATATTCTAACATTATGTCGGAAAGTCAATAGTTTTTCTATTTACTTACCACGTTTGGTATAACAGGTTATTAAGAGGTTAGGTCCTGTGTGTAAAAAAAAAATTACATTGCCATCTGCCGGGGTAAATGTGACCTACTTCAACTTCGATGGACTTTAATTATAATATTTTTTTAATAAACAAAATTATAAAAACCGATTAAATAATAATATACAAATCCTTTTTTATTCGTCCAATTATTTACAACTACAATTTAATGCAAGCAATATCCTTTAAAATTAATCGAACATTTTTTCAGACAGTTTACCAAAAAAACAAATGAAGATAGATGCTTTTCTAAATTCACTCAGTGTGTTATATTCACTGGCAGTGAGATAAATATCAAAATCTTGTATTTATTTTTTTTAATTTATAGATAAATTACCTTTCTAAGAAAGAGGTGATAAATAGCCCTGGTAATCACATATTAACACTGTTGTTAATTCAACAATAGGCATAAAACACGGACTTACACCTGTCACCATGTTAAGTTATGTCATTTCTAATTTTACCAAGCACTAAAAGTGGTAACCGAAAATCATCTATTCGTTTATAATTATATAAATATACTTAATATTTATTTATTTCTCACCATTTTTTACTCTTACTTCACCTACTTACTTACTCGCTCACCTTATTAAGTAATTATTTTTGATAAAATTCCTAAAACCCAGCAAAGCTTGACAAGTACAAAATAAGTATAATCAAAATTAACAGATTAAAATACACAATGTGGAAAAAAATGTATTTTCAAACACAAAATAAAACGAAATGTAATTATTTCAAAGGAATACAAATAATATAACAATGAAAAATGCAATAAGACAGTTGTTAGATATATATGTCAATCTTAGTAAGTGCAAATGAAATCAAACATTTACTTCCACTACGAATTGGGTTATTGGCTGTAGCTATAATCTGATGCACCTGACATCGGATCATCTGATTCGTCGCTGTCATCACTGTCATCGTCCGAAACAAAATTTATTTTAGCGGGAGCCTCTAAATATACACAACGAAACTCCTACAGCATAAAAGAGTTATCAATAGTTAAATAAAACGCTCATAGATTACTTTTAACTAACATCGCCATCTGAACAGTGGACGCCAGTAATTCGGATAAACACTATCGGGGTAGGATCAAAGTTCAACAACTGCATTGATTGTGTCTCCCTTTTAGTTTTATTTGCGATTATTTTCCATTCTTTGTTATTTACCGATACTTCGATAGTGTACTTGAAGAATATTAACTCGTCTGGATCGATTTCCAGCAACATCCTGCAAAATATGGCAGTAATATCGGTAATACACTCTAAAATTTAGAGTGTACACAAATAGCAACACAAATGTTGCTGATATGAAATTGAATAATTACAACTATTTAGCCGTCTACGAATGAGTTAAACATTAAAGTGGCTCAATGCAGCTAAACGCATACAATAGTTGCCAGATATAAATGGTACCTTAGGTAAAAATTACCTAACGGGTTTACACTACAAGTTTAGAGGATAATTGTTAAGATATAAAATAATGGCAAGTTTCTTAAACCATTACCTCATTGAACTAAGCATATAAGGTTGTGGTAGCTGAACCAATATACAACCCGATCCCAGCTTATGCCAAGTATGCCTGTCATACATATCGCATGTATTTAAGTGGTCCAATAGCGTATTATTGTCAAAACGACTTTCCCCTTTGAGTATAATTGCATTCTTAGACGACGAAACAACATTGCATTTTGGAGCTAAATGATTAAAAACAGTAAATAAGAAAAACATTTAATATTTTTTATATTATTAAGAAAAGGTAGCTTTTATTTTTGGGTGTTCTCACCAACTAGTCCATCTTCGATTTCCACCAAGTGACGTCTGTTTGTTTTGAACGAGATTTCAACAAATTTGCATGGTTTATTAACAGTATTTTTGGTTCGAATATATACTATACGAATATACCATGCTGCAATTGGATAAACCCACAAACGTTGAACTGAACGGCAAATATAATCTGAATAATCTATAACCTTCACCCAATCGTTCTCGCCCATTGAAACATCAATGTAATAACTGTAATCCATAAAGTATTAAATGAATCAAACCAACTGCTGTGCATTTATTTTTGGTATTAAAATTAAAAAAAAAATAATTTTGTTGTACAACTATTTGTTGATTCAAAATAATATTTGTTTGAATGATATTCTTTTTTTGTTTGAAAGAATTGATAATTTTAAAACGTACGCTAAATCTTCATCAGGTAATATTATTTTGATATAGTTTATGGTTGATGGATGACTCAACCTTATCATAGTACCACCGTTATTGTTATATGTAACCGAAGAACCCTCAGCAAGATTTACATTGGGTTCTAAAAAATAAAATAATTAAAACCATTATAATAATAACAACAAAATTATCGGTACAGCAGGCATACTTCGCTGTGCTCGAAACCCAATCTTATGTGGTCGCCCGGTGTTTCTTAATAGTTTGGCACCCGAAATTGTATCCAAACTAATCAGTCGTGATTCCCAAACCGTCGCCAGTTCTTCATCACTCATCAACGGACATCGGACAGCAGATAAAACTTTAGTTTTTGCATCACGATCCAGGTGTTTTCCGTTCTTTTGGATCCAGCGATTAACCGCACTGAATATATCGAATTCTCTAGCATAAAACGTGTCACGAATGAGGATTTCTCGAAGGACTACCTAAAATAAATGTTTGTTTCTCATCTTGTCAGCTAACACTAGCAATATTATTTAAAACGAAATTATTACGGGCGACAAAGACAGAAATTCTTTAGATTGCAATACATCCATAGCGTTGGTTTCAATAAATTCGATTAAGTCGCCTGTGAGTTTTTTTTGTTGATGAAGTCGTGCCACAGTAAACAACGAACATACATTGTGTATACTAATGGTACTCCGCAAATACTCGGACAGGGAATATTGTAACTTTTGAAATTCGTAGTAATCCGAAATTCTAAATAATTCCACAATAACTTCATACTAAAAAAAAACCATATATTAGTTTTATCGGTTTTTGATAAAAACATTTTTGTCAACCAAACACATAAACACTTCATATAAAAAAAAATAGTGTTTATACCGTTCAAATAGCGGTATAGTAAATCACTAATACTTTACCTCTAGATCACTTAAACTCATCTGACCAGTATAAATATACTTTAAAAGTATTGTAAATGAGGTTACTGATCCTTCCTTAATTGGCACCTCAGACTTTTTCGCTTCTGCATAATTTCCATAAAATAATTTGCTAAAAATGTTTACACGGTATTAGATGAAATCACATATGATGTGTGCTACAATCTGTATTGCCCATTGTATTGTGAGTATTACTTAATCGACTACACAATTGAATTGTTATCAGTACTATACTAACACTGATTTGACTCGGTATGTTAGATAATATTGAAACATTACTACATACGTTTGAAATAGACACGTTAAAATCAGTCTAAATACCTTTTATAACACATTTTTTACAAAATACAAATATATATATATATATACAAGGTGTAATGTAAAGTTCTACCGAGCTTCAAATGAGACATTCAGGATGTTCTATGGGTACAATAAATGGTATTCATTTTTTGTTAATTTTAAAATTATTAAAAATAGAACTTGTATCTCATTAAAAAAATGTCTTATGAAACAAATTGTTTCAGATTTAAAATCAGGAGAAGAAATCATATTGAATTGATATGTAATATGATTTTGTTGGTGTCTGGCTACGCTTGCGTCCACCGAGTGGCCTCGAATTAACATCGATTAATACTAAGGTGGTAAGCTTGATGAAAAAAATTAAATACCTAAAATATGAGCTGCGTGAGGCTAAAACATCACGATTGGCGTGCAACCGATTTCCACCGACAACTAAAACAACATCAGAATACCTAAAATAAACATCAAAGTTTACTATTATACAGTTACGATTTATCAAAAATTCAAAATTATTATGTTTCATATTTTTAAAGTTTTAAAAATCAACATGCTCATCAAGTTAAATGACTGAAAAATTGTATTTACTAATGTGCATATTATATTATTTAGGTATTTTTCTTTGACAAAACCTATATACAAGTTAATGCCAAATTAAAACAATCTATACGACATAGCCATATGTACTATGTATTACTATGTATTACATAATTGATGAACAATTTGGTTTGCTATGTAAAATAAAAAAATAATGAGTATTACCATCGTATAAATTGTAAAATACATTATAATGTTAACATATTAGAATACATGTTGGGCTACAGTATTAAAGAACTGTATACAAGAAAAACTCACATGTCTTAATCTATTATCAAAGATATAATGACCAACACGATGTGCAGGGCCGGTGCTAAGAAATATACAAAGGGGGGTGTCAAAATGAAGATGCCGACTTTAAAATTTTAATTGCCGACTAAAATATTTGGGTACTTTCGTAAATATTTTATGACATTTTACATCACAAATCACAATTTTTTGCTAAAATTAGTGGGAATTAATAATTGTTGAAAATTATTTTTTTTTTAACTTTAATTATTATTTTTTTAAGTATTAATTAATACAAACAAATTTAGATAGTAAAAAAACCATTAAAAGTTAAACTTTAATATGGCGTTTTTTTTAATGCGGACTATTTCCTTGTTATTTCTTCCAAATCAATTATATCGAGAATATCTCTGGTGGAGTTTAAAATCGTGAAGGTCTATTTAAAAGAATAAGAAGACGAACAATTATAATGATGTGATATTGTTATAAATTGTGACTAGATTTTTTTTGATTATTAAAATGTTTTTCGGAGCATAGAAATATTTTAGGCAGCTAACAAATTTTCAGATCTCAGTCACCAGTACTAAAGCAATTTGAGCCCTACTTTTAAAGCATTATTTTAAAAAGTTTGAATTTATTTAACATAATTATAACGTATTGCAGTTGAAACTGCAATTTAACCGAGATATAATCCAAATAGCCTAATATTTTAAATAATTTTATAAAAAATAATGACATTGTATTCAAAATTATTATTAAAATCTTTGAAATAAAAACAAAAATCTATTTTTTTATGAGTTATTACAATTTTATTTTTATTATAGTTAGGTACACTATTTAAAAATAATGCTCATGTCTGCTCCCTGCTCGCTATATATATATATATAGTATAGTAGGATATTATAGTAGGTAATATCTCACCGCAACGATAGTAATAAAGAAAAAACAAGACGTAGTGAAGTAGTACTAAGGAACTCTCATAGGCCTTAAAAATCTGGCTTAATGATTTATTCTAAATACGTATCCATCTCATACCTTTTGTTCGAAATTTACTCGGGCAGGCTCAAAAGGATTGTTAGCAGCCCTTGGTGTTTCATATTTATTCTCTAACCATATATATATATATTTAATATATATATATATATATATATATTTGATTACACACATTTATAACCAAAACTTATTATTTTACACGCGCGCACGGGACAAGTAAAAATAAACCCGCTAACTCTTTGCCTGCAGACTTAATACTGTGGGTTATGTGATATGTCTAAAACAGAAGAGTATGTTTTTTTTTATAGTAGGGAATCTTTTAGAATTTTAAAACTAAAAAAAAAATATATACTTACAGAGGGATAGAATGTTTGTTTACAATAGACCAATAGGTCCCATGACCGAACATCGTTTGATATAATATACACCACAGTTATTATAAACAAATAATAATACTTCTGCTAAAATCGGGAATAACCGAAAATGCATTGTTTGTTTTTACTTAAAACTAAAATTGTATTTTCGTATGGTCGTCCGTATGCCGACTATTCACTATTCAGTCACCAGATTCCAATAAAAATTATGTACCTACCTACTTTTATAAAATAAAAATAATAAATATGTTATTTGTATAATTTAATGGGGGTTATAATATTAACCGACTTTTTGTTCCGAATGTGCCGACTAGGTATACTTGAGTTTTCCGAGTGGGGGGGGGGGGTGTCAAACCCCCACACCCCCCTCTAAGTCCGGCCCTGACGATGTGGTAATATCTTACTGCATCATATTTATGTAGTAAATTGTAATTTATTCAGATTTCATCAATTTTATAATGACATACATTCACCATTTTTACTTAAGTCATAAAAATATGTTTAACATCATTCATAATTATTAAAACTCCTATACTGAAAATAATAAATTCAATAAAAATGAATACATTAACTCATACCTTTCGTTCCGATACAGATTGCTTATATCGCTGATCAAGATGTGATTGTGATCAATTTCCTCGTTACTGTGCTCTTCGGGCATAGGCGAAGGCAACTTACAATCGACAGGATCAAGACATGCTAAAAAAATTAAAAGAACAGCTGATCATCCGGACGAGTTTATATGAATTATTTATATATTATAGTCGTGCCCTTCGTACTTCACACAACTGAAAATGTATACTGTATTGCACAGTAAAAATAATAATTAAATAAAATACACGCATATGTAATGATTTGATAGCAATAAGCCTAATTAGAACTGGTGGAACTAAAGAGAAATTAAGTAATCAATAAAAAGCAATATTTAATGAACTATATAGCTTATACCCTAATCAGTAGCATGGTAAAAATGGAAATAGAAGAACAAAGACAATCGTATCGAATAGGAACTCCAAATAAATTATTAAGGAAAAGAGAAATCATCTTCCAATGACCTTATGCATAATAATTTAATTACAAGATGAAAAATTATTATGAAATACAAAACCTATTATGTACCTAAAGTAAACGTTAAGACGATAAAGGCTAAAAGAGACTTGTACATTTTCGTAATCTAATATGTTGTCAAATTCTTAAACACTTTGAAAACAATTCTTGTCAAAAGATATTAAGAGCCGATTGAGTGTATGTTTTTTTTTAAACACTCCACCAACTTTTTCTATACTTTATAGGATATATCTTAAAACAATAGTCTAGTTCGCATATGGTAAATATTAAACAAATATATGAAAACGACGCTAGTATAATTGTTTATATTTATTATTTGGTTTTACTAAAACCGCTTTTTTACTATGAATCATGTGCGGCAGAGTATTCTTCTAAATTTTAGTATTATATTATATGATTATGTACATACATGATAAATGGAGCGCATTTTCAAAACGAAAACAGGGCACAAAACTTTTTGGGTTTTCCAAAACGATTTATGTTTTACACATTATTTAATAAAAATTGATTACGCAATTAATTTACTAACATTGCATAACTATACACAAGTATATTATACTCTTTATTATTTTTAAATAAAGACACCAAAAAACCGCGAGTGAACACACAATATTATATCACAAAATTTATCAAAAACGATAACTATAAACTACAGTATATCCTATTACTACAGCTTAATATTGTACTCTAAACATTATCAACCTTTGAAACTATAAAGACAGCACATCTTTATTTATTGGCATATTTATAATACAAAATATATGATAAATATGTTTTATTAAAATAATTCGGATGAGTTTGTTTCAAAGGTCGGTAGATTTCTTAAAGTCGTGAAAAATACCAGATAAAATTGAGAATATTTGTTTACAGTGTACAGCAAATCCAATTAGTTGACAAAACATAAGCACACAATTTAAATCTACAAAATTATATTTAGGAGAACAACAGTTAAGGAGATATTGAGTGCATTGCGTTAAATGAATAACCCTGCATATCATTATATAGTTCTTAATGGTATATATTATTTTTGGTAGCTTATAAAGACAAGTATCATTTTAACAACGTGTTTTGGCTAAACACTATTATGTTAGAAATATTTTTAAGAAAATAAAAATTAATTTGTGGTATAGAATTACTATAATTGACAATTCATTAAGGCAGTATTTATTAAATTTTATGTTGTTTAATTTTTTCTTTATATATATTACTGTATATATATATATACTTTTGTGTATCTATATATTATGAATGTTAATTTACATTATTCTAAAATATTCACTTAATGATCACGCAGTTCAGTTCGTTGTATTTTTAAGTATAGTTCAAAGTGACTAGAAAATAATTTTAAAAGGTATCTAATAACTAATGAGGTTGGATCGTCATTTTATTAATGCAACATTTCATGTATATATGGTTTCAATTATAATGAGTGGTATGGTAAGGTACTAAAAAAAGAAGATTTAAAACTATTAGTAAAGTGAGACTCAGTCAGGAACACAAAATTAGGAAAGGAATGTACAATGTTTTGGTGGTTAGTACAAAAGGATAGCAGATAGCTGGTAGTTTTTTATTTGTCTACAGTGTTATACAAAGCTTCTTAACTACGACGCATTTCTAACATTACAGCGGCACCGTGATGAATTAATATCTTTATATACGTTTGCGGTTTGTTGCTCAAGTATTTTCATGTTAAAACCATTAAATCGACTAGAAATTATTTTTTTTAACCACACACTCAAATTGTTAGCCAAAATCATCTATGAGTTTATTTTTGCTTTCTTACCATTCCTTACTCTCACTACAAAATAAATAGCAACATCCACATTATTTCATACTCTTAACCGGTAAGTCGGACATTCAACTTTATGACTATTTTTATATTTATTTTCGGTTTTTGTAATATAATTGATGAAAAATTATACAACATTTCCCCAAAATGCAGCAAGGATTGACAACGACAATACAAGATTGTACACAATAAACTGATTGGAAGGTTTTGATTATTTTTAAATTTATTGTATAACTACATAATGTTAGACTCTCAAATTTACTTACAATCGTAAAGCAAAAAACAAATGTTTAGGTAATTACATACAAATAATAGAACAGTACCATATATCATAAAATAGATGTTAATATCTTTCAATATTTATAAGCCCACAAGGAACAACAATATGCTTATTTTTAAAATTCGGTAAAACGACAGGATATCGAGCCAATATTTCTGGTATCTGATCAACTGTTTTGTTATTCTCCTAAAAACAGATATTGTTGTCATTAAATATAAAAAAATGGATTAATAGAAAAACAATAAAGTGGACTTCTCAAACGATTGAGTTGTCTTGAGACACAGTTTACCGAACAATATGCAAGTTCGTAGTATTTATAATAATATTGGAGTTTGATATAGATTCAAACATAAATAATTTCATATTATAATATATGATAAACACAAGGTGTAATAGAATGTGTTAACCGTCAATTAAAATTTCATCATTGAAATTAACACCAAGTTATTTAATTAAAAGGGCGGCTGAAGCAGACTGCTGGAATTAAATTATCATTGAGCAATCTTTATTAATTCTTACCATCTTCATTCTTAATATCCATTGATTTTTTTTATTTTGCTTTACAAAGTATTCAAGAATTCGACAGCACATTCACAAGAAGAATACAAATATGATTATTTATTTTTTAGTCTATATAGTTTTAACATCCACATTAGGTACATAGTATCACGTTTTGTATTCCATAACAATTTTTCAACTTGTAATTTATCACTTTTGCCATAAACTCATTGGAAGATTAGTTAAAAATTCTGATAAAATATTTTTTGTTCTCATTTTTTATTCTTTACCATGCCACTGATTATGGTAGGTGCCGCGTGATTCATAAAATATTGCGTTAAGTAATAATTGTTTAAATTACTTTTTAGTTCAGCCATGTATGTACAATTTGTGTCTGTGCTATTGTGCTTTCAAATTATTGCAGTTGTGTTTAATATTTTTTAAATTTATTATTTTTACTGTCATGTGATATATGAGGGTTATAAAATATCTCTAAAGGGGCGATGTTCCTTTAACTCCAAATTATCGCTCTGTTTTTTTTTTAAATATACATAATATATAAGAAAAATATATTACTTATCTGCATAAGCGGTTTGTAAGCGGCACGGTTTGTAGTAAAACATTTTTTGTTAAAACAAATAATAAAAAAAAAAAAAAATAATTGACGTCAGAATCAAATCTGTGTTTAATTTTTAACAGTGTACAACGATAACACGTTTTTGTACCTATACAAAAATCGTAATTAAATCGTAATCGTTTTTAAATCTTTTGGGCAATATTAGTCAATAGAGGTGCAACAATAACGTCGTGTTAATGTGCTTAAACAAAAAAACCGTGCACCAATTGTATACACAATTTATCGTTTATTAACATTATCAAGTACGGAAAACGATTGTAAGCTCACATAATAAAACTAAATAGTCACATTGGTTATAAATATATTAAGACAAGATTAGGTTATAGAGCGCCCAACATATTTCAATAATAAAACAACACTAGGATGATGTAATTTTTAGATTTTATTATTTTTTTATGGTCAACTCCAGGTATTTAATAATAATTAAATATATTACTTAAATTAATAGGACAAATTGTAATCTTGCTGTCCTACATTTATTGCCAAGTTATGTCGGTACGTTTGGTCTTAATTCAGTATCAACAGTGGAGCGTGAGCGTGGTGTATATGTTTTACGTCATTTTCGAATCTTTGTGTATTATTTGGCAATACTTACAACAATAACATGTTTTTGTATTTACACAGGTTATGAGCACAATTACATGTTTATAAACGCTATCGAGTATGAAAAAAGATGGTTCGTTACTTACAAAAATTTTTATATTTCAATCGGTCTTCAAGAACTTTGAACAGAGGTTTGTTTTTAGGTGTTTTATAAAGAATTTAAAAAGTAATTTACTATCAAGTATAGCACGATGTCGATAAGTGATTTTTTAGCTTTGATCATTTTAAGGTACGCAATTCCAGGTACGTAATATGACTCATACAATTTTACATAAATGTCCTCTTTGTATGCCAAACAATTAGTCCTCAGCGATAGATTTTGAATACAATTACGAATTTAAACAAAAAACGTTGTGAAAAATTGAGATCATATTGTATAAAACCTATAAGTAAAAAAAAATGTCCTATTAAACCTTATGAGATATTGAGTGGTCCATGATAAAAGAACCACTCTGTAGAAAGCTCTAGTTGAGGCTAATTTGATATTTTTCAACATGTACATTGTAAGGTTAGTTCAGGCTCTGTCTTTAATTTTATATTAAACGCTAAAAACATTAAAATAATTGTATAATTATTTTATCATAATGCGACATAAATCCATTACTGTTTATTTACTTTAAAAGAAACCAGAATACAATATTAAAAAAATGTAAGACCAAATGACTGGACGCTACTTCATATCGTACATATTTATTTTTATTTATTTATTTAAATATAAAAAATAGTTTACGCCCATGGGGCAATAGAGTACAGGATAATATTTTTTTTAAATTAATTATAAATAATTACAATAACACTAATTAAAAAATTATACAAAAGTAATTAAACGACATTATTAAGAATCATTTTTAACCTGGCTAAAGGAATCTTAAATAAATCTAAGTTGTAATCATGTTTTGCTTTATTAGAAGCCATTAACATGTGATTTACCGGAGTATAATAACTATAGTTCTGTTTGTAGGAGGATATGAAATAGTTGATTTGAACGTAAGGAAAATGAAGGAGCATTAAGAGAAACAATATTTAATATTTCAGGACAGTGTATAGTATTATTAATTAGACCATGAATCCAACAAACATCTGCAACAAATCGACGATGAGCTAAACTAGTCAGTCTAAATATTAGATTCAATAACTTTTAGATCTGTCGCGACTTTGCCTATTTTATATGCTATCATTCTTAAAAAGCGTCGTTGGAGGCTTTCAATTTTGTCAGATAACCCTGATTGATATGGAGACCAAATGACAGAGCCGTATTCTACTAAAGACCGCACAAGAGCACAATATAGTACTATAAGGCAGACTGGGTCAGAAAATTCCCAACAATTACGTTTAAGGAACCCAAAAGTTCTTAAAGCTTTATAATACACTACAGTTATGTGTTCTTTGAAAGAAAGATCAGAAGAAAGCGTAACCCCGAGATCTTTTATATACGAAACTTTAACTAAGTTAGATCCGTCTATACTATAAGAAAAATATTCAATAAATCGGCTACGATTGAATGTTATTTGTAAACATTTACTTACATTAAGACTAAGACTATTAGAAACACACCACTCATGGAATCTATGCGAATCTTCTTGAAGATTGAAGCAGTCATTTATGGATTCAATATGCATGAATATTTTTACGTCATCAGCGAACAGCAGACATCGTGAATGTTTGAAAATACTAACAAGGTCATTCATAAATATTATAAACAATAAAGGTGACAAATGCCCACCTTGTGGACCCTAAGAAGTGACTTTACGACTAGATGAAATAATATTTCTTATTTTAACTTGTTGTCTACCAGTAAGATAAGACTCAAACCATGATAGCATGGGTTCCCCCATACGATACATTTTTAATTTATGCACTAGGATGGAGTGATCTACGGAGTCAAATGCCTTTTTTAAATCAGTATACACTGCATCAACGCGACTACCTCTGGCAACAGCAGAAATTATATCAGAATAAAAGACAAGCAAATTAGTGACAGTTGATTTGGAAGTTCGAAAACCATGTTGAGAGCTAGATAATATATTTTTAAAAACTACAGATAATTTATTTTCTACTAGTTGCTCAAACAGCTTAGGCAAAGCGTTTAATTTAGATATTGGTCGATAGTTAAGTATATTTGAGTTATTCCCCGATTTAAAAACAGGAGAGATATAACTTGACTTCCATCTACTAGGAAAGATCCCAGAGGACAATGATAAGTTGAAGAGGAAGTGTATTGGACGAGAAAGTGAATATCAACATGCATTATAAACTATATCAGGAACGAGATTTGGTCCATATTTAGTGATTAAGTTAAGCTTTGTTAACGCATCAAATAGCTCAGCAATGGTTAAAGAATAATAGGACAAAGTGTTGAGATGAAAATCTTCATAGGAGTTAAATAAAGTTGGATTATCCGAAGCGACATAATTAGAAGAGAAAAAATCACTAAACATTTCAGTTATATCATTTATATCTTCAGACCATTTGCCATTTAGTTCCATAAGATTTGGTAATGAGTCGTTTTTCTTTTTATATTTGACAAACTTCCAAAAGTACTCGGGATCATGGATAAGACTTTTTTGAACAGCATTTAAATAATAAGAATAGCATTGCTTAGATAAAAATGTACACTTAGCTCTAGTTCCCGAGAATTAATTATAAATTACTTGAGAGCCTGTGCGTTTACATTTTTTATGTAATTTATTTTTTTTATGTATTTAACTTTGAAGTTTCTTGGAGAACCAACTTGGATAAGATGACTTATATGGAAATACTTAGGGAACAAAGATATCAATGTTTTGTAGAATCAAATTATAAACAATATCTAAGGCGTCGTTCACATTTTCACAACAATATAAAAGCGACCAATCTGCCATAGCTAGTGAATAAGACATACCTATATAGTCCCCTGATTTGAAATTATAGAACCAAGTGGGCTGCCAAACATGTTGAACTGGAGTATTATTATTACAGACTATTGAAAGTGCTGGATGATGAGGATCAAGAGGCACTAAGACATCTGGAGCTTGATTTATCAAAACTAAACTAGAGTTTGAAAACAGTAGATCTAGGGATATACCATTAAAATTAAGAACTGAATTATGTTGATACATATTTAGGGAAGAAAAGCTGCCAAAAATCACGTCAGAACTACTTGTCCTTATACCACTATATATTAGTCCAACTCCATCATTATAAAATTTGACACCTGGTAGATTGTAATCGGCTGCCAAAATCATAGTCGTATTAGCACTAGCGTTCGATAAAATATATTCAACGGACTCGGCATGGGTAGAATAAACACTGACCGAGCTAGCCGGCGGAATATAGCAAGTTGCGAGAATATACTTATGTTTCCCACTCCCGGTAACAGATACAAACAGTTGTTCAATGTTATCGTGTGGAGTGGTAATAATACCTGATATAAGGCTTTTACGGACACAAATGGCTACCCCGCCAACTCTTGAACAAAAACTAGTTTTATCATTCCGGTCAACACGGTAAACATTGTACTCATCAAAACCAAGTTCTGCATTTAAAATAGATTCGTTTAGCCAGGTCTCAGTTAGTATAAAATAATCAAACCGACACAATGGGATATTACATTTTAAAACGTTTAGTTTAGTTCGCAAACCTCGAACATTTTGGTAGTAACCAGATAGAATACCCTAATTACTAATACATTTTTGTTTACAATTAGAATAATATACATTATTAGAAATATTAATTAACCGAGTATTTAGTTTTTTGAAACAATGATGGAATACCGTTTTTATACTTAATGATCCTGTTGAAATCGCCTAGCTGTCTCTTCTGAAGCAGTTCTTGCCGTAGTGATTTCATGACATTTAGTTGGTGCAAGGTTTGATCAGAGTTAATCCAAACTTTTTCCAGTTCTTCAACGTACGGAGTTTTGATTTAGATTTAAGTATGATGGAAACATCATTTATACTATTGAGTTCTAAGAGTAATGGGCGACCTTTTTCTACTTGTTTGCTACCTAAGCGCTTAGCATTACAAATAGGCACATCAATGTTTAGAGCAGCTACTAGAGTCTTCGCAGTTTCTAAGGATAGAAATCGAGTCTTCAGTTGATTCCTCAGGTATATTGTAAACAATAACATTATGAGCTCTCCGCATACAGTCTTGGGTTTCTCTAATTAAATCAACGGTGGAATTATTTGATGGTGCGGCAGATTCTAGCTGATGTATTTTGTCATGTAATGTCTTAATTTCAGTTTTTAAAGAATCATTCTCTTTTTCCAACCTTTTAAGGGTAGCTGTTATGTTTTTCATAGTTATTTGAATAGAGGAAAAATCGTTTTCGTAATTACTGAGCTTATTTTCAATCGCAGCAAACTTGGCATCTTGGGATGACTGTAGTGAGTTGAGCGATAAAAGAATATCAGTTAAACTTGGCTCCACTCGAGTCACGTTAGCTGAGGAAACCGTTTTTTTTATAGAAGTATCACTTTTAGGCATAATGAGATAGAATAAAATAAGGTATTAATGAAAAAAGTAGGCTCTAGATTATCGCGGTAAAATACGTGTTAACTGCACAACAGCTGATACTGTACTGACATGATATGTATCATATATTCGTCTTCCCGTACCATAAAGTATGCCTCCAAGTACCATAAACATATCCATGATGCACTATCTTTATCTTAAGGGAATAAACAAACCTTCTTTCAATAGCAAGTGGTAAATTGTTTTAAAGGCACCTGTAGCATGACCGATGGAGAAAAAGAAAACACATACATATAAATTACCATGATAAATTTAATTAAGCGTCGTATTTACAGGGGTTGATCAGGGTTATATACCATTAACAAAAGTCATTTTTTTTTATAAGACAATTTAATAATCTATTTGTTAAACAGGAAACACTTCTTGTATTCAAAGAAGTTTCGGATAGAATTTTTTTTTCTCGATAAAATTTTTTATATAAAAAAAATTATAGTTCACCTTTTTTGGCCCCGTGTTTTTGACTGAAAACAGACAGTCCCGTTTTTTATACGACAATATGGTTACATGAATTTAAAATACAATAATAAACCTTGCCTATACAGTTTGCTACTGCATGATCAAATTCACCAGGGTCTCGCACCAAGTATGCACACCAGTTGTGTACATATTTCTTGTTATGAAAAACACTATCACGTAGGCTAAAAAATTGTGCGCTATTTTATCAAAACAATATTTTCTCGTTAGATTTCAATACCTATGGACGGTGTATTATTTTTTAAGCGTTTCGTATAGTATTCATAGATAATTTAACACTTATAATAAGATTGTGTTTATTTATTTTATTATGCTAATCGTGTCAATTGCATCTACATAAATAATTGCCTTCTTATAATCGAAGCATATGATCTTTAGCGATATATTCTAAAACCGACTATGGTAATTATCTACGGTATTTGCTATTTTTTCAATAAAATATGGCCTAGTAAGATTTACTAATCCTTTCACAAAACCTCCTTGCTGACTAGTTATAATGTCTAAGTTCAGCGCTAAAAAGCTCTGGTGGAGGTTAATTTGATATTTTTAACTAGTTTAACGGAAGGTTAGTTCGTAGTCTCTGTCCTTAATTTTATATTAATTAAAAAAATGGTAAACGATTTCACAATTATTATTAAACCGTACTGCAAACACGCAATTAAGTTATTGTTGTTTTTCATTTGAAAAACTAAAAAACAATATTTAAAAATAAATGAAAAATTGTTCAATTATTTTACAATTATAAAACTTTACTGCACTAGTGCTATATAATTATTATTATTTTCTCATTAAAAATATCAAAATTTACCATTTAAAAAATAAATGTTAAATAAAACCGCTGGACGCTAATTTATACTGTAAATAAACAATACAAATTCATTTGTAAAATTAATTTTATATTTTAGCATACTGTGGTCCTACCGAGAATCCATCGTCTTCGGCAAATCCAGCCAGTGACGAGCAAATTGATCACACTCACTTCTTGACTGACGAATGTCGTCGTTTCGATCGCAATCAGTTTTTAAATGAAGAGTATGTATTATGAATTTTTATAAGATTCCATTAGATGTAAAGGACTGGTTGTTTTTGATTATTAAGAACATTACATTTTATTTAGTATTAACCACTTAACCCGTGTAATTACCTGTACAATATATGTATAATGACAGTGTTGTAACAGTGTTGCCTACTATAACATGCCCTTAAAAAAAAAAAAATTGAACTAGTAAATAAAAATAATTCTTATAAACAAAACATAGTAATTATAAAATATAAAATTATATCATATAAGAAAATAAAGCAATAAAATTGAAAAAGTTTTTTAGCCGAATCTGCAACCACGAAAGAGCATTTTCATGTCTTGTTGAAGTATCGAATAAATTTAGAGTATATTAACAAGCTAGTATCTAAGGTGGCTAATAAACATATCAAGTTTCTGCCTAATATTTTAGTGTTTTCATAATATCTGGCCCAAAACAATTCATCGGAAATTAACCTGTTAAATTACAATTGAGTTTGTTTTTCAGCTATAATTTGATCGTCGTGAATACAACATATCTCTCACCCCAATCTATTACCACTAACTCCCACCCCTATATTCCACCCCTATCACTCAACTCTATCTCCAACCCATATTTCTCACCCCTAGCTCTATCTCCTATCTCCCACCCCAACCCCATACCATCACCATTCCCACCCTCAACCCCCCCTTAAATGGGGATGAAGATGAGGTGGGGTGGGAATGAGGTTAAGGGTGAGAATTAGCTGTGGAAATCAACCGAAAACCGAAAAAGTTTTTCAGCCGAGTCTGCAACCACGAAAGAGCATTTTCATGTCTCGTTGAAGTACCGAAAAAATATAGATTATTAGTGGAATTATAATTTAAAAAAAAAAAATTATACGGAGCCTCTAGTTACAGCATAAGCCAAAGAGATTTAAAAAGTTACGTACAATCATGTTTCTGGCTAAAACTGTAGTGTTTATTATCTGGCTTAAAACAATTCATAGAGAAATTGGGCCATTAAAGTGTTTTGATTTTATTATTTAGTTCTAATTTGAACGTTGAACGTACAACATAGCTCTTAGCTCCGATATCTTATCCGTCCCTATCACTCACCCCTATCTTCCACCCCTATCTTCAATCCCCAACCCCAACCCCCACCCCTTATCTCCTTTCCCTATTTCCACCTCCAACCCATCTCCGTGTGGTAACGCTCTTTTGGTAACGCATTTGTCGTTACGCTTTTTTTCGGTTATTTGCCATAGCTAATTCCAACCTTTTCCCATTCCCACCTCATCTTCAACCCCATTTCTTTTTTGGTAACGCATTTTTCGTTAAAATATTTTCGTTACAATATTTTCGTTATAATATTTTCGTTACAACATTTTCGGTTATGTGCCAGAGCTAAGACATGAAAATGTCAAAAAAGCATAACGAAAATAACGAAAAAATTGTTACGCTGTTATCTGATATGAGATAGGGGTAGAGGATAGGGGGTTAGTGATAGGGGTAAGATATAGGAGATAAGAGATATGTTGTATGTTCAACGTTCAAATTAGAACGAAATAATACATTCAAAACAGTTTAAGGGCCCAATTTCTCTATGAATTGTTTTAAGCCAGATAATAAACACTACAATTTTAGCCAGAAACTTGACGTTTTATTATACTAGCTTGTTAATATACTATATCATTAACTATAATTCCACCACTACTCTAAATTTATTCGGTACTTCAACGAGACATGAAAATGCTCTTTCGTGGTTGCAGACTCGGCTGAAAAACTTTTTTCGGTATGTGCCAGAGTTAAGACATGAAAATGTCAAAAACTATAAGGGACAAAACAAGATAAAAATAAATAATACAGGCATACAAATGATGAACAATTAACATAAATATATCTTAAATTTTACTATTTCCTACCATATCTGTTTACTGCCTTATGCTGTTTAAGAACTATGAGACAATTTCAATAATTAGTTTTCTTACTGCAATTTATTCTCATCTTTATTATATTTCAATGTAAATAATAATTTGTTTTCTATTTCTCCTATACCATTTTCTTGCCAAAAAACTGAGTTGGCATCTAATGTTGGAAAATGTTTGGCGTTAGATAGTTGAATTTTGAAAGTACATTAAAAGTAGGAAGAATATAATGTGAATTTTTGATGGCTTATTCAATTTTTTTGGATCCAGACCTATTATTCTTCTTAATTACAGGGACAAATGAATTAACCTATTCCGTTGGGGTCGTTAACTTTTATAATACTATAGATTTACATATATTGTTTAGTACTTTAATAAGTTGATTATATAAAGAAGAAGATTTTTTTCTTGGAGCGACTATTATATGCACTGTTACTCATTAAAATTTTGTGTTATCTTGCTTTAATTATTTTATATTGTACTAATTGTAGTAATTTTTTCTTTCTATATGTGTCATGTTTATCAATTTTATCAATTCGTTATTCATTGTGTTATTTTATTTTACTGTCATGTACTTGAGCCTACCGGCGTTTATTTAATAAATAAATAAATAAATTATAATCAACATCAATTATACTTATTTAGCTATCTGTGAAAAACTCCCTTAAATATGAACACAAAATATATATAATTTATCAAAACGTAGTATTAAATATATAAAGAACACAAGCAGTTTATAACTAAATTTTTTTTTGGAATTTCTCTGTATTATTTTTAAAGATTTAAAATTTTACATAAATTATTATTCATTTGTAGTATTTATAAATATATTACTAATTTATTTTAATATTTATTTTAGGTTTTCGGATGTTGTTTTAGTTGTAAATAATGAACGATTCCCCGCCCATCGTGCTGTGTTAGCTTCAAGCAGTGATTATTTCCGGTAATAATATCTTTAAGCATATTATTCTCTTTTTTTATTGATTGGTAAATTGTTCTAATAGTACATTTTTTTTTCCTTTTTTACTTTTTTTAGAAAAGCATATTTCTTAATTTTTACGGTTAGGTTAGGCTCACTAATTTCCTAATCAACCAACCTAGATGTTTTTGAAAAAACAGCAACATCGATTGCCTTAAGATTTTTTAATGTTTTGTAATCTATAATTGTTAGTTTACTTGCTTGATATAAATGGATAGTATGAACCATAACCACCTATACATATTTATTATAATTGTTTTCTTTTCATTGTAGTTGACGGATTTTAAAACCAAACTGACAACATATTCCATGCCATTTCCCTCTATCTTGTGCTAGGACTTGCCAATCAGCATCCGGTTCAACCCGCTCCACATCTTTTGACACCTGGTCTTCCCACCTCAACCTTGGTCTACCAAGTGGTCTTACACCTTTTGGGGAGCCACATAGTTCTCTGTGTATAAGAGCGCTTTCTTTTCGCCATGCGTGGCAGGCCCAAAAGAGCCGCCTCTTTGTTATATCGTCGACTATGTTTGGTTTCTGGTATAGCTCACTGATCTCCACATTATGTCTAATTCTCTAATCTCCTGTATTCCTATCTGTGCAAGTGCCAAAAATCGACCTCAAAACTATTCGTTTATGTACTAAAAGGTTATTATGCTGTATCTTATGAAGCGTCCAAGTTTCGCATCCATACATCACCACTGGCCGAATAAGAGTTCTATACAGTTGTACCTTTAGGCTCTTAGCCAACATTCTTGACTTATACAGCTTGTTCAATACAAAATAGCATCTATTGCCTGCCTGTATTTTTGTTTTTATCTCCTCTTGTATTTCACTACTCTGAGTAGCCCATGCAATATGCCTTACTAGTTGTAGCACATACAATGTATTTTTTATGCTAATATTAGATAACATTTTTAGTGCATTACTGTGTAACGGACATATAGAAACTTATACAAAGGAGGTGTCAATAAATGAAGGATCACCAACATCAATTAAAGAACTTCTTAAATATATTTATTTTGGTAAAATGAATTTAAGTGTTCTAGAGGTAACTTGTAATGTATATATTTAGAATATAAATATATTTTATAGAAAAGGATTTGTCGAATACATATATATATATATATATATATATATATATGTATTTTTTTTGTATTAGATTAACGTCATTTTGGAATTATTAATTCTCTCGAATCTATGGCGTTTTATAAACTTACAATTTTCACTGTCCGAGTACCTGTGTAATAACATCGATGTACACAATGTAAGTTCGTTGTTTGTTGTGGCTTCTTACTATCAACTCAAAGAACTCGAAGACGCATCAATCAATTTTATTGCCACACAACCTTTGGACGTATTGCAATCTAAAAAGTCTCGCTTTTTGTCGGCCGTAATTATATTTTATAGTAAAAAATCAGTATTGATCTTGTTAGTTGTGACAGTAATATTATTTTTAGGAAGCATTAATTTTAATTCTCAATCGTAACACGGCGTATGCTAAAGAATTGGATATATTCCATGCGGTTAGTCAGTGGATTAAAGAGAACCAAGACAAACTGGGTCCTAACGAAAAAACCAACATTTTATCGGCCATCAGATATCAGCTTATGGATGAAAAAGAACTGTCTGAAGTTAGGCGATCTGAGCTGGTTCGTTCGGATAGAAATATTTTAGATGTCATAAAGAAGTCCCTAACACAAATATTAATTGATCGAGGACGATTAGGTATGTTCAATGGCAATATAATATGTTAGGCAAACTATTTTAGTATCAACTACGTTATTCTTTAGAACCAAATGTGAATTTTGCTCAAGAAAATTCGATAGAGGTTTCTCAAATTGACGGCGGTACCATGATGGTGCTGGATCATCCAGTGAATATAAACTATATCGAAATGGAATTAAAGGAAAAACCATCAAAGTATGTTTTTACTTATCAATATTTCTAATTAAAGATTTTATATAAATTTATTTTAATATTAATTTGAACTAAAATATATTATGAACCCCAATTATGTTATTGGTGTGTTTTTATTTAATAATATTCTAATTAAAGATTTAGTATAATATTGTTTGAATACTAATAAAGTAAAATTTATTTTTTTCATGATTTATTTTAAAAGTTGCTAATTTAATTTATTCATGAATAAAAAAAATTGTAAATGCACCTACTTATAATAATTTTTTAAGCTATTCTGCAAAACAATTATTTAAATACATGATTTGCTTTTTTGCCATCCGTATTCATAAAAAGAAATACAACCATTCATTTGATCGACTTATTTAATTCTTTAGGAATTACTCCTATTACATTGAAGTATCAATAAATAAGTACAGTTGGTTTCGTGTGATTAATCATTCAAACTACGATTGTCGGTCAATTCAACGCTTGTGGATTAACCGAATATATGTGAGGTACATCCGTATTGTTGGCACCAAAAATTCTCGTAATGAGACTTGTACTTTTAACATTTTAAAAGTCATGTACAATACGGACAAAATGCACTTGGTTGAAATCAAAAACGGATTAATAGGTATGGATTCCATGAAATTAACTGTTTCTTTAAATAATATAAAAAGAACTTATTTGTTTAATTAGCTGATTTTAATCTATTAGCTCCAAAGTACAATGTTGCTTTACCATCTATGAATGCGTTTGTAACCAAAGAAACTCCAAATTGGATTAACTACAGAATGGAGACATCGCCCGATAAGATTCAAAACAACATTTTGTACGATGACTATAAAAACTCACTTTTGGATCGTCGACATACTAATCATTTCCTGAATTCGGGGTGTATAGAGGTTCAACTCGCACAACCGTATTTGCTAAGTTCAATGAGGTAATCGTTTACAGAATATATACTTTTTACTTTGGTTTCTATTTTTTAATTATAATATTTTTTGTGCCTGAAATATATTTAAAAATAATTTTAGGTCAACTGTGGCAATATGATTAAGATTATATTAGTATTGTCATTATTTATAGGATGCTGCTTTGGGATGACAATAACGATACCTACGGTTACACTGTTCATGTTTCAGTCAATCATGAAGATTGGTACTTGATAATAGATAAATCCAATAAATCGTGCCAATCGTGGCAGTTGTTGCAATTTGAACAAAGGCTGGTAGTGTATATACGTATTACTGGCAGTCACACTTCAGATACTGACAAAGTAAAATAATTGATCTAAGAATGTTTATTAGACATTATTAAAAAACTTTTTTTTTTTGTAGACTTTTAAATTTAAATATTTGGAGGCACCCGCTCAAGTATCGCTAGCTTTCATCATCAAAAAACCGTGGAAGTCGATATCGTGGCTATTAAATCGGAAATAGCGGCACCATTCACCCGAAGGCAAACTTCTATATGGACTAATGGGTTCTTTTACATATAATTGTTATAGGTTACTATCAATTTTATAGCTTAATAAAAATATATATTCAATTAAATTATTACTATTATTAATTACTTATGCACAAAAAAAATATATATAAATGTCGTTATCCATTTTACCGCGTTATCAGTAGGTTCTTTGAATTTTTTAATGCATTATAAATATAAATAATATTTAATGTAATGTTCACATACGATTATATATAGTTTGTAGCTTCGATGCAGAGCGGCGAAGGTGTTGGTTTTACTCTGATGTGTTTTTTTTTTTATCTGTATACACTGTAACTTTTTTAATAATGAACCAATTCCTTTAAGTAGCAACTTTATAAATCACTAATTTCATCTAGTTAGTACTTTGAGGGGGGGGGGGTTGGTAAAAGTGTAAAAAGTTTACTTCTGTACAGTCGATATTTGAAAAAACAAAAAAAACCGTACGAGTTTTTAAGTCTTTTACCGGCTATAATTTCGAGAAAAAAAGTCGGATCTAGTTGAAAATTATAAGAAATATTTATTTGGTACACGTCAGTTGTATTAAATTTAAATGAGACCCATTTCCTACCTCCTTAGTTGGGGTTCAAGTTTTTTTAGTTTTTTAGTCGTAATTTCTTCGGACCGCGACCTAATTATTCTAAAGCCATTACTTATTATTTCACGTTACCTTACTATTTTAAATTAAAGGCTACGGCCCTTTGAAATAATATTATAAACTTCATAGTTCAATCAAATTCTATTTTACTCAAAAACAAAAAATAACAACATATGCACATCTATTATATCTATTATAGAGGTTATTATAAGAGATTCCAAAATCACCCATTCCCTAAATCCTCTTACCGAAGGGGGAAGAATTACGACGACCACTCCATATAAAATGCCTAATTATTGATAAAAGAAGAGCTAGAGCCACATGGCAACACACTCGTTATTATTCTGATAAACGCGTATTTTATCATTTAGCTAATAAATTAAAAAAAGAACTCCAAAATTATTAATCAGAAGAATACGTAAATTACATAAGATCTCTCAACCCCATGGACAACTCTCTATGGCGAGCTACCAAAAGGCTAACTAAAACTAAAGAAACTATCCCACCATTACTTAAAGAAGATGGTACCTTAGCTTTAACAGATGACGAAAAAGCTTTATTATTTGCTGAGTATCTCAGTAATACATTCAAACCACACCAAGACATCATACCAGATATAAGCCACGTTAATATGGTCAATGACTTTCTATCGAGCCCTCTGCCAATGTCCAAGCCTGTCAAACCTTTCAGCCCAGGAGAAGTTCAAACGACAATCAAAAAATTACCTAAAGGCAAAGCTCCTGGTAATGATCTTATTACCAATAAATTATTGATGAACCTTTCCCAAAAATGTATTCTTCTTTTAACCTTTATTTATAATGCTATAATCCGACTTTCTTACTTTCCCCCTATCTGGAAAATAGCCGTAGTTATTGTCATACCTAAGCCCGGCAAACCAAAAAACTTAGTTATGTCATACAGGCTTATTAGTTTATTGCTTACATTGAGCAAACTCTTTGAAAAATTACTATTAAAAAGAATTCGACCGGTCATACAGGAACACAATATAATCCCTAATACCCAGTTTGGGTTTCGTGCAAGGCATTCCACAATTCATCAAATCCACCGACTGACAGATGCGATCGCTTCATCTTTTGAAAACAAGCAATATTGTACTGGCTTATTTCTTGATGTCGCACAAGCGTTCGATAGAGTTTGGCACAATGGTTTACTTTTCAAATTAAAAAAAATATTTCCAGCCTCTTTATATCTCATTATAAAATCATATTCACAAGATAGAAAATAGATAGATAGATAGATAGATTGTCAGACAAGGTTCTGCTTATTCATCTTACTGCACAATTGAGGCCGGGGTCCCTCAAGGTAGTGATCTTTCTCCCGACCTTTAAAACATACTTACTGCTGATATGCCGCAAAGTTGTAACACATTACTAGCTACTTTTGCTGACGATACAGCGATTCTAAGTCGTCACAAAAATATAAACGATGTGGCTCACCATCTCCAACCACACACTAACGCTTGTGAGAAATGGTTAAGGAATTGGAAAATCAAAATCAATGTAAAAAAGTCCAGTCAAGTCACCTTCGCCCTCCGTCCGGAAATAAGTCCCGCTATAATACTTAACAATACAATTATCGCTACTCAAAATGAAACAAAATATCTTGGTCTAACTCTTGACAAACGTCTAACCTGGGGACCACACCTCAAAGAAAAAAGGAAAAAATCAAATATCAGACTACATCTTTTGCGCCCTCTGCTAAAGTCTAATCTGTCACTCAAGACTAAACTGCTTATATACAAGTCAATAATTCGTCCAATATGGGCTTATGGAATACAAATATGGGGACCAGCTAAACCGTCAACTATAAGACCAATACAGGCGTTCCAAAATATTACACTGCGAATGATTACAAATGCTCTTTGGTACATAACAAACAATAACTTACATAAAGACCTAAAAATAGTCACTGTTAACGAACTAGCCAAAAAACATTACTTTAGATTCCACTAAAAACTAAATTCAAACTCAAACCCCCTAATAAAACGCATGCTCACGGCCAATATCCCTGACGACCCTCCACGCAGACTAAAACGTAACTCGAGTAGAGCCTGACTAACATAAAATAAACAACTTATAACCTAACCCAACTTACTATAGAGGTGTTACCAATGGGTAGCATCCTTTTCAAGATAAATATGCCCTGTTATAATTTAGATAAAAAAAAAACTTATTGTACATACATATTTGTATAGATTGTTTTTGTAAAATAAAAAAAAATTAAAAACAATAGAAATATATCTTCTAGCAAAAATACTAGCGTTAAAAACATATTTGATGTCTCTGTAAAATGTGTTTTGGATTGCCACGCAATTTATAACAATTGTTATACCTTAGTATGAAAGTAAATGAACACAATTAGATTAATATAAATAATAATATTCGCTGATGTTTATTATGAAACCCAAATTATACGAATGACAAGTTGTGCCGGTGTAGCACATAAGTATGGTAGACAATTCCCACCATATGTATTTATATAAACTGCTGATACGTAACAATAATGATTCAGTCGATATGAGCGTTTGTAGGGCGCAGTTATATATTTGTGAAAAATAGTACGTTTCATACTAAAATAAATCAATATCAATTGTTTATAATATACCCACCTGTTTTTTTTTTTTTGTAAAATAATTAAGTATATGTTAAAAAATGTTTTTGTTCCAAGTCTGTGTTACTGCACTATGCTGTCTTGACCGTTGTCAAACGTCGACTACATT